GGGTCTGTTTGCACCACAGTCTTGCCAGCACTCATTTCTTTTCTTTTTTTTTTTTCTTTTAATCACATTTTGACATGGGTTAAGAGTGATACCTCAATGTGATTTTGATTTGCATTTTCCTTATGATGAGATGTTGAACTTTATAAAAATATTTTTTGGCCACTTGTATGTCTTTCTTTGAGAGTTGTTTTTTCATCTCCTTCGCCCATTTTAAAATTGGATTATTAGTTTTTCTGAGGGCAAGCAGCTTGAGTTCTCTATACAATCTGGTCATCAATTTCTTACCTGAAGCATAGTTTGGAAATATTTTCTCCCATTCTATGTGTTGTCTCTGCACTCTATTTGTTGTTTCTCCAGTCTTTTAGCATGAGTTAATCCCACTTGTCTATTTTTGGAATTGTCCCCTGCACTTTAAAGGTCTTATTTAAGAAATCTTTGCCTACTTTAGTGTCTTCAAATGTTTCCCCTGTATTTTCCACAAGAAGTTTTATAGTTTAAGGCATTACACTTAGATCTTTGATCCATTTCGAGTTGATTTTTGTTAATGGTAAGAGATGAGTTCATTTCATTTTTCTGCAGATGAATATCTAGTTTTTCTAGCATCATTTGCCAAAAAGCTTTTCTCTGCTGGATTGTTTTATGTCCTTTGTCAAAAAATTGGTTGGTTGTATATATTTGGGATTTATTTTTGGATTTTTTTTTTTTTTTTTTTTTTTTTTTTTTTTCTGGTAGGGAGCATGTAGTTTCTGGAGAGAGAGACAGAGAGGGGAAGTGAGAAATTACTCCACCTCCACCACCCCCACCCCCAGAGAATGGGTGGAATGGCTATGTCACAATCCCTTCTCTTCCATTCTTGTTTTGGGATTTTGGACTTGCATGCACACATGCCCAGTGTTATTTCCAAGCCACTGGATCCAAGACTTAAACTGTGCCATCAGCCCTGTGAGATCTCATAACCTTAACTACCACATCACTGATTGACTCCTCTGTCATTTTCAGTGTTTTTTATTTTTTCATTCTCTTTGTGGCTTCAACTAAATTGGAGGTTTTGTCTTCAAGGTCAGAAAGTCTTTCTTCTGCATAGTCTGTTTATACTTTCAGAAGAGATTTTATTTTTTTATATTGTATTCTTCATGTCTTGAAGTTTTCTTTCCTAAGGTATCTATAGAGTTCCTCCCTCCTTCATGCCATGGAATGATTTTCTCATCCTCTGGAACTGATTTTCTGTTTTCTCTTGTAGATCAAGCTTTGTTATGACCAATATTCTGAATTCCTTTTCTGACATTTCTGTAATTTTTAATCCATTTCTTTAATATTTTATCAATTGTTGGTGAAGTGTTCTTGCATTCCTTTATGGGAGATCTTTTCTTGTTATTTATTTTTATTTCTTGTCTCTGTTGATTTTTGGGTATAATCCTTCCTAATTTTTGGAGTAGGTTCTATAGTCCTGAGGTAGGGGGGATAGAACAGCCCTAGGTCTCAAGTGTGCCGCTAGCAAAGAGGTCCAAGAGGGACTAGATGCTAGCTATATCTTTCATATCAGAACAGGGCTTGTATACCCTGTATGTGAGACCTGGAGTCAGAGTGGCTTTTCAGATACACATGGAGTCCTGGTGAGTGACTCAGAAGGGTAAGCCTGTATATTGGGTTTTCAGAAAAAGTCATGATGTATTTTTATATTTTTCTATGCAAAAATGTATTGAGTTTTCTGACAACCCAATATGTGAGATCTATGTAAGTCTGAGAGACTCCAGAAACAGGCCCTGCGTGGCCTCTAACATCCAGCAGCGGAGTAACTCCATGCCTGGATGTTTTGATGGGGTCAGAAATAAACCTATGTGTAAGGCCTCACCAAAGTCTGTAACCTATAGAGCCTGAGGGTTCTGGAATGCTTGGAAAGACTCCTGCTAGAGTTAGATGCTAATTTGTATACTCCAGGATCAGGATGTGGTCTAGGGTGGTGGTGTCTTCCCTAATCTGACCTGGAGGGTGGGATCTCTGGTACTCTCCTCTCGGATATCCCTCCTCTTTCCTTTGCCTACACTTAGAGTTCAGGGAGGTTCAGAAGAGCTGTGTTGTGGGTGCTATCAGTTGGGGCAGGAAGCCATTACCTAGACTTGAGTCTGAAGGGATGGAAGAGTATTGGTCTGCCCTGCCAGACACAAGGTAGTGACCAAATTCCTGTCTGTAGAAATGAAGGTATTCTCTTTTGCATCTCCTACTCTTTTGTTGTTGTTGTTGTAAAGAATTATTTATTTAATCATCACTTATTTATTTAATTCTATTTGTTATTATAATTAATATTATTATTTAAATTGACCAGAGAGACACAGAGAGAGAAAAGGAAAAGAAAGAAAGCAAGCCATCAGGTCCAGGACTCGAACCACTATCGGTCAGGCAGGAATCCAGCATCCTTAACCACTGCCACCTGCTGGCTCCACCACTGAGTAAGTCTTGCTTATAAATGGAGCTCCATCTGCTGGCCAGTTCCCAGTACTGTGCAGCACTCTTGCAGCTTGGGATGGGGAAAGGTAGGATGTCTGTTTTCTCTGAAGTTGTATGCTGGTTCACTTCCATATGTTCTGTATTAGCTGTGTGCTATCCGTTGTTCTGTTGGTGAGGAGTGCTGATCCGTTGTTCTGTTGGTGAGGAGTGCTGAAATCTATGGTGGAGTCTTGAGAGTTTCAGAAGAGTTTTTCTAGTCTTTTTTCTCTTTAAGTCTTTTCCTGCCTCTTTGCATGTCTGGTAATTATTTTTTCAATGCCACACATTAATTTTATCTTGTTACATCCTCCATAACTTTAGATTCCTCAAAAAAAAGTTTTTGTTCTATGATTAAAATGTTTAGTTTCGGGACCAGCAGTTGGGGTAATGGCTATGTTGCTGGACTCCCATGTAGATGACCATGGTTCAAGCCCCGGACCTGGTGGCTTAAACTCACGCTGGGCACGTGTGTATGTGTGCCCAAGATCCCTAGAGGAGAATGGAGAAGGGATTGTGGCATGGCCATCCCCCCGGGGAGGGGTGTGTGATTTCTCACTTTGTCTTTCTGGTGAGTGCACGCAACCTATAGCAAAAGCCTCTCAAAAATAAATAAATAAATAAAAATTTTAAAAATAGAATGTTTACAGTTTGATCCTTTGTGTTTAATTTTTATCTTGGTTAGGACTATAGCAGCACAGGGCAGCATTTAGTCTAGGGTTAATTTTCCCACTATTGAGGCAAGGCCCTTCTTACTGTTTTTACAAATGACCATGAATTACAAGGTTTTCCATTTGTTGGGAACAGGCATTATTCCTAGCACTGTGCGAATTTTAGTTACTGTTTTCATTTTAAAGTGATTATTTCCTTAGCTTCATGTGGTTTCCTCACAATCATGCACTGTCCCATGTGCTGAACACGAGAGGACCCCTTTGCAGCTCTTGTTTTCTGCTCTGTAAAGTCCAGTCACCTTGACTTCCTCAGACTACAAGTTCCAGTGAGCTGGAAAATGATAGCTCTCACTTCATTTGTTTCCCACTTTTAGTGTCATTTTCCTTTATTGCCTGATGTCCAATTCCTTGAGAAACACTGTTTTCCTTTTTGTAAGTTCATAATAGAGTGTGTGACGGAAGGGAAGAGAAAGAGAAGCACCCACTGTAGGGTTCAGTCATGCCATGATCCCCTTCCTTCAGCCTGGACATGTGCATGCATACACAGTATCAAAAGCCATTGTTAACTTACAGTTTGCATGGCTTTGTCTCAGGTGGGAAATTAAGTCTAGTCTCCATTACTCCATATTATTTGGAAGTAAAAGTTTTTGTTTTGTTTTTATAAACATATCTTTCATGTATCCACCCAATCCACATTTGATTTTTTAAAAATTATTTAATTTTTATTCTTTTTTTAAAATTTGACCAGAGATAGAGAGAGAGAGAGAGAGAGAGAGAGAGAGGAGGGAGGGAGGGAAAGGGACAAAGGAAGCTGCCAGGTCTGGGACTCGAACTGCGGTCAACTACATGGGAGTCCAGCAACATAGCCACTACATCATCTGCTGGTCCCAGAGCTTTTATTTATGTTTTTTTTCCAAGAATTATTAAAATAAAAAAGATTTATTTATTTTTTAATTTGACCAGAGAGGGACAGAAAGAGAAAGAGAGAGGTAAAGTGAGAAAGCAAGCTGCCAAGTCTAGGACTTGAACTGTGGTCAGCCATGTGGGAGTCCCACACCCCTAACCACACCACCTGCTGGCCCCACCTGATGAGCTTTTAATTTCTGTTAGCAGGCAGGAAAGTATCCCTTCTCCTCCAGCTCCATGCCTTTACATTTTAAGTTATAGAATGTATATAATCATTTAAGACTTTAAACAGACTGGGCTTATTCTGTGCTGATATAGTCTGCTTTAAAAATTAGTAAAGTGAATTTTGTCAACTTTCAGTTTCGTATTTAATGTGGCTTACTTGGTATTTTGTTTTAAAGTTGATTTAGTATGTATGTGGTCTCCCAATATCACAGCCATCACAAAGTAAGTATTAATAAAATGTTCATAGAAAGAAAACTTTAGGAGAAAAAAATTTACTTTTTATTAAGTCAGCAAACTCATTGAGAATCAATTTGCAGAATATACGGGGTTTTCAAACCTGGTTGATGAACAGATTCAGCTATAGACCATAAAAAAATCAAGTAAAAATCAAAATCTTTGGTCTTACCTTCTTTAGGGATTCAGTAGGTCTGGAATGAGATACAGAAAACTGTATTTCGTAAAAATCTCTCTGTAGGATTTAAATGATAGGCTAGGTTTGACACTCATTAATCTATATTTCTAACTGATAATTCTGGCATTATAAAAAGTTGAAGGGTGGTAAGTTGTTCAAAATATCTTCCAAATATGGGGCCTTTTAATTTCCTTTTGAAGAGTGACCTCCCTTCTTTTGAAATTTCAAGAATTCAAAATTTGGGTAAAAGCTACAGATTAGCTCCCTTTGCCTTATTTCCAATAAACCTGTTGTTTTTCCCACAGAGGAAGAAGATGATGATCTCTTTGATGACCCTCTGCCAGTACCTTTAAGGCACAAGGCTCCATACCAGCAAACTTGTCAGCCTGAGGTATTTTCAATGACTACAGAAGCACAAAACCAGCTTGAAAAACAGACACAAATCACAGCATGCTGTAGAACAGAGAGTTTGCAAAGCCCCATTTTGTCAAACTTTGTAGACTGCGATGAATCCAACAGTGAAAGTGATGAAGAAATGGAAGCCCCAGCTTCACTGCAAGGAAATCCAGGCCCTGTAACACTTCTGCAAAGTGCTGAGAGGGATGTAGTACCGCAATGGGAAGTATTCTTTAAAAGAAATGATGAAATCACAGATGAGGGTTTGGAACATTTCCCTTCCTCCACACAAGCAGAAGGATCTCAGTCACCAAAGCTTTTCAGTGACTCTGATGGGGAATCTACTCACATCTCCTCCCAGAATTCTTCTCAGTCAACACACATAACAGAACAAGGAAGCCAAAGTTGGGACAGCCAATCTGATACTATCTTGTTATCTTCCCAAGAGAGAAATGGTGGGGATATTAACTCCTTGAACAAAGGTGGCTATAGACAAAGAATCAAAGAGAATATTCCTGCCTCTCAAATGGAACAAAATATACTTTGTCCAAAGGATACTTACTCTGGTTTGAAAAGCAGAGATCAAGATGTATCTACAGTTCCTAGTGCTGGAGAACCAGCTACTGTAAATGATGGGAAACATATACCTGAGGAAAAAAGGTTGCTAAATCTTAGCACAAATGCAGATTCACAGAGCTCCTCTGATTTTGAAATTCCCCCAACTCCTGAAGCTGAACTACCTAAACGAGAGCATTTACAGTATTTGTATGAGAAACTGGCAACAGGTGAAAGTATAGTAGTTGAAAAAAATGCTCACCTTTAGATATTTAAGAACTAAAAATCACTTTCTCCTAGAGCAAACACTATACAAAGAGACAACAGTCAGTATCACATTAGGTAAATTAAAATGAAATCCTTAAAAATGTCCAGATAGGACCAGTAGGTAACATAATGGTTAAGGCATTGGACCTGACATGGCTAACTACTGAGTTCAAGTCCTGGACCTGGTAGGCATGTGTGCATGACCAAAATTCCAATAGCAGAAGGGATTGTGGCATGGCCATCCTGCCTGGGGGGTGTGTGGGGGGGTGTGATATCTCACTTTCCTTCTCTCTCTCTGTGGCTCTTTTTGGAAAGCATACACACTCTTGCAAAAATCTTAAAAGTCACCTGAAAGAAGGCAGTAAAATGGAAATAGGAACAAAAAACTAGGGGAAAATGATAGAGTTAACCGAAACATACCAACAGTTACAATGCATGTAGGCCCAGCCTCAGTGGCACAGGTAGTGGTGTACTGTACTGCAGTGCTAGAAGCCATAGAGCCTGCTCAACCACTCATTCAGTTCCTGAGTGAACCTGAAAACACACTGGATGCTAGTATGCCAAGATCCTAATGAGGTGAAGAACTGAGAAAAGGAGATTAGAATGAGACCAGACTGCAGAGGGTACCTCTCTGGTATGTACTCTAATGAGAGAGAACAAAGTTATAGTACATATAAATAGTCTAAACATAACCCAAGTATATGCTATCTACAAAAAAAAAAAAAAAAAAAAAATCAAATGACATAGGTTAAAAGTAAAAGGAAGGGGGAAAAAGATATGTAAACACTATATAAAAGAAAGCTGGAGTGGCTATATTAATGTCAAAAAACACTTTCCTAATGATAAAAGGTCCAATTCACCAAGAACATAAGAATGCTAAATGTAGTTAAATCTAAAACCAGCTACAAAATACATGAAGCAAAAACAACTGAGACACAAACTAATACGCAATTATTAGGTCGTCAGAAGTAATGACTCATTTTTGCATAGAAAAGCAGAAAAATACATCATAACTTTTTCTGGTGACCCCATTATATTTAGGGGCCTTAACATTCTGCTTTTAGTAAAAGAACTGTCTATGTATATATGTATGTATGTATAGATACACACACACAAGTAAAACAAGAATGTAGAAGAACTGAAACATTATCAGTCAACCGGATCTGACATTTACAGAACATCCCACCAAATAATAGTAAAATACAGCTGTTCAAATGCACATGGAACATTTATCAATGTATACCTCATATCTTGGGTCCTAACACATCATTTAAGTTGAAAGAATAAACTTGGATCTACCGTAATAAACTAATGGCTGTAGGAAAAATCAGCACCTAATTTACTTGAAAAGATGTTATTCCACTTAAGAACCTTGGTGTGAATACAATGGTAAACTTAAAACTAGAACAATTCAGATATAAAAGAAAATGATTATGAATTAAATGGCTAAAGTATCAGTGTTCTGAAAGTCACTCAACTTTAAGTTCATTAACAGGTTATGCTTTTATGTTATATATGAAGATTTAATAAAGTTTTATTAGCAACTATTCACAAACACTTTGGTATGCTAATGTTTCATAAATTAAAGAAGCAAATGCAGAGATAGCACCTAAAACAAGTTTAAGTGGAGTCTCTAGAATACAATTTTGAGATCAATTAAACTAAAAATGATCACCACGCTGTGTGGTTATTAGACCATAAAAGAATTATTGGATCCACCAGACAAAGAGTTATAAGACTCAGAGTCAGTGTATGTATGTCAATTATTTTCCTGCCCTTTGTATAGCTTTACTAACTGCAAAATATTGAGAAATAAAGGTAAGCCATGATAAATAGAACATCAAATGCCAAACTAAATTTATCTTGCTAAGGAGAAACTACTGACCTATAATAAAGGAGAAATAAGTACAGTCTAGATTTTGCATATAAAAACCCTGAGATTACTAATAATGTACCATAATCCTTTTACATAGATACTAAAAAAGATTGTATTAATTCAACTTGTGCAGTGGATTTCCATTATAAAGGATCTATGACTTTGAATATTTGCTTTATATTGAAAACACATCCTGACATCTTCAGGAAGCTAATTTGAAGAAACTAAATACTGATTTAAAATACTTAATGCCCCTAATACCTTCGTTTAAATAATTATTTTTCACTGCTTAAGTTCAGCCTTATAATAACATAAAAGTGACAGAAGTACCTCAAAGGCCCATTATATTTCTATTAATAAAGACAGAACTACAAGTTTACTGAAAAATAGTCTTTTTCCCCTTGCCCTCCAGCTTTACATTTTTTTAAACACAAGAAGTAAACAAGATCAACTAATTAGACAGTAAAACTCTGACTTGAAAGTTGTATCTTTAAACCCATGAGAATCATAATTCAAAATAAGTTTGGCCATTGGGGACAACCTGCAAACCCAAGACCCTTTGTCACCTCTGACACTATGTGACTGACAAATTTTTTCATAAAGAAAACACAAGAAATGCCAGTAAGAGTGTATTTTTCCTTGACACATTCTGCAAATTTTGGCTAGCAGATATACTCTGAGGTTTCAAACATGTAAACAATTTATCCTATATTAAGAAAGAGCAAAGTAATATGATGACAGCATTGTGAACCATAAAGTATAGCTCCCCAAGAAGAGGCTAAAGATTGAGAAGATATGTCAAGTGCTGAATTCTTGAAGTCAGTTTGCTTATTTTAGGTCATTGAAGCTTAGTGTACTGTGAATAGGTAGAACTCAGTTAGGAACACTGTCAGATGGATTTATCTGCTGTATTTACCTTCACATTGGACACCTTGCTTAGAGCTCCTGGAATCAAAAAAAGATGATAAGGAAAGAGTTTTTTCCTATTGGTTTTATACTGTGCAAGGAGAAAACAAAAACAAAAAAAACACAAGAAACTATTATATTACATTTCAGTTTTCATAGGCCAACTATAAAAGGTTTCATAGTCCAAGAACACATTTTGGCCAAGTTCAGCTTTATCACATCTTAAAAATTCATGTATAAAACATGTATCAGTTCAAAATATAGATTACTTTTTAAGAAGAACCTTCAGGAAATATAAAAATAATTAGATCTGTGGAGAGGAAATGGTAAAACTGCCTGAAATTGAGAGGATGTAATATTAATGTACATTACATTTATTATTAGGAACATCTGCCCCCAGGTATCTTGTTTTAACTGTTTAGAGAAAAGGTTCTTAACATGTGTCTCCTAATTCATGTTCCTAAGAGGTGCCCTTAAAGTGCTCCATTTTTCCTGCTTGGCATTCCAAAAAACCCCTCTTGATCCCACTGTCCTGTCCTTTCAAAGAAGCATGATGGCCAGCCATTCTGGATTTTAGAGAGGGTATTTCAGAGATATTCCTTCTACAGGACTGAAAAATCTTAGACAACTATAGGCTCAGATATACACCCCTCATAATGGTCTAGATTGCTTTAAAATATGAAATCAAGCTGAAATTAAAATTTTCATTTATTATACCTTAAATTTTCCTATCATTAAGATGTCAATGTTTCAATGAAAAAGTAGAAAATAGGTTATAAAATTCAGAATCACCTATTTGTCTCAAGTACAAATACAGTGAGTATTAAATAGACATGACAATAAAGTAACAAAAATAAAAGATATTTGCCCAAATTGAATTAACTATTTCTCTGAATTCAAGGTGTATGGCAAGTTGAATGTTTGAGCTTAGAAACTGTTGCATTATTGGTTTAACATTTTTCAAACACTGAAATAGGCATTTCTCTATTCACAGATTTTGTAAGTATGAATGTACTGACTGGTAAATAGTTTTGGTGTCTAACCACTAAATAAATATATATCAAATTAGGCTATGTGGCCCAGTGTCCCTCTCTTCAAAATACCTGTAATACATTTGGCAAGTGTCTTGAAACTTAAATTTACATATAGGTATAACCTTGAATAATATGGAAAGAGTCCCAAATACTTATTCTTTAAAGATGTTAACATTAGGAAAAAATATAACTATAATTTTCATCAGTTCTGTTTTCTGCAAATTCAGTTGAGGTAACCTCTGCAAGTCACAACTCCACATTTGCATACTGTTCTGACCCTCTTTTTGGCTGGGCTGTGGTCAATAGAATCCGAAGATATATCTCCAGAACCTGAATACATAGAAAAAGAAATATAGGAGAAAGACAGTTAAGACAATTTAGAATGAATTCAAATTTTCTATTACTTTTTTAAAAGAATTAATTACATTTGTCATTATTATTTTTAAACTTTACTATAGAGAGACAGAGAGAGAAAGGGAGAGTAAGAAAGTAAGCCGCCACCAGGCCCAGGACTTGAACTACGGTTGGCCATGTGGGAATCCAGCGCCTTTAACCACCACACCACCTGCTGACCCGAAATCTTCCATTACTTTTAAAGAAGCTAACAAGTGTGTTTTTCAAGCCACTGGGTTTGGGACCTGAATCACTCAATTGGCCATGTGGGATCCAGCGGCTTTAACCACTGGCTGGCTCTGGAATTTTTTTAAATTTTAGGAACTCCTATATTAAATTATGGAATATGCAAGAAAAGAGACCTACTGAATCATACTAAGAAATCAAAATAAGTGCTTGACTATCTCAACTTTATCACTAATAGTGAACAAGTTATTTAAGATAAAACTAAAGTATTCAAAATTATTAGACTAACTTCCAAGGAAATGTATTCCCTTCGTATTTATTTATTTATAAAAATTTTGCTAGAGGATGTGTGTGCGAGAGAGGGAAGGTGAGGAAGTACTCCCCATAGCGTATGGCAACACTGCAATCTCTTCTCCTTTAGTTTTCCTTTCAGCATTTTGGGCATGCACGCACATATGCCCAGCATATTGTTTAAGCTGCTGGGTCTGGGACTTGAACAGCTCAGTCACCGATGTAGGATCCAGCTGCCTTAACCACCATGACACTGGCTGGCCAATTTTTGTATTTATAAATAAATATGAACATTCAGAGACAAATCATGAATTGTTTTGAAAGGGTGGTAAGGTTAATAATAGATAAAGCTTGTTATTAGCCCTTATTTATATGAATGAATTTCTGAAATGATGAAACTTATTGGGAAAATCCAGTATGCAATCATTCACATATATTACCTAAGAGAACATAGTGATGTCAAACAATAACAACATGTAGAGGGCATTATTCTTAGATAAACAAAAAGAAAACATTTATATTGTCATAGTAAAGCACACGGAACTTTGTGTGTGTGTGTGTATAATTTTTTTTTTTTGGCTAGAGGGTGCATGCACTCACTGGGTGAGAGAGAAATAAAGAGGGAAGGAGTAACCCCCAGGAGGGATGGCCAACTGTAATCCCCTTTTCTCCATTTCTCCTTTTGGGATTTTAGGCATGCACACATGGGCACCCAGTATGTTTTTCAAGCTGCTCACTTGGGGACTCACACCACGTAGTCAGCCATGTGGAATCCAGCTACCTTTACCATTACACCACTGTCTGGTTCACTACATGTTCTTTTTAAAAGTCAGAGTCAAGTAGGAATAAAATAAATTTGTACGTGACTTAAGTCATACTTTCAATCTTTTAAATACATGTCTTAGTAAAAATTCATAATATATGCCCACAATTTTTTTTTTTTTTTTTGGTAATAGTAGTAGTACAGTATTGAAAAAGGTGTTATATCAGCTTCTAAAATGGAAGTTGTGAGTCAACGTGATGTGAGAAACACTATTTCTCAGCCCAAGGTCAGGGAGACCTGGGCTCTAGCTTTAGCTATCAGATTTGCTTGGGATCTTAAGTGACAACAAAATTATAGCCTTAGTAATTTTCATGTTTAATATTATTTTGGTTCAGATGACCTAAGATCTTTTCCTTCTGGGATTAGATTTTTCATATGGAAATTAATGAAGTTATACTTGAAAACTATACCTTTCATTTGATAATCAAAAGTCAGCTCTTCTCCAGCATTGATGGTTCTCGTGGAAAATAATGCTATCCGGGGAAGACGAGTATCAAGGTTATCAATGAAAACATTGAACACCTGAAGATTTGGGTCACACTAAAAAGAAACATTAGAATCTCATTGAGTAATACATGTGAATTAACTCCTCTACATGTCATATAAAATCTTCAATTTCTGAGTATTTGTTTTTTATGTTTTACTCGAAATTAAGTTGACAATTGCTTAGAGGTTGTCTTTGAGGCATGCACACTTAAGAATACATTTTCACTTATAAAGTTTTTCAGACATACATAAAAGAGAAAATAATGTAATTAACCCACATGAATCCACTATGTAGCTTTAACAGCTATAATGTTTGTCAGTCTTGTTCATCTAGTCCCGACTTTTTCTTTCCCTCGGCGAATTTTAGTATGAATTACAGATAACATTATCATTTTACCTGTAATTATGTCAGTGAGGTATATACTTTAAAAACTAGAATAATTGTATTGTAGAGATCAAATCAGCACCATAATACTCAAATTTCATAATGGGGTTTTGTTGTTTTAATTCTTCTTTGGAAATTTTCTTTTTTTTTTTTTAAATTTGTCAGAGGTCATGTACACTCTGTCAGAAACAGATATCTATCTAGCTAGCTATCCACAGATAGATAGAGAGAAAGATAGATAAAAAGAACCCCCCATGGGAATGGTCATGCTGCAATTCCTTCTCCTCCATCTCTCCCTCCTATTTTGGACACACATTTGTTATGTTGTTTTTTTTTTTTTTTTTTTTTTGAGAGTTTTTTTGCTATAGGGCGCATACACTCGCCAGACAGACAGAGACATAGAGACAGAAAGTGAGAAATCACCCCCCCGGGGGGATGGTCACACGGCAATCCCTTCTCCTTCATTCTCCTCTTGGGATCTTGGGCACGCACGCACACGCACCCGGCGTGAGTTTTAAGCCACCGGGTCCGGGACGCGAACCGCGGTCGACCACGTGGGAGTCCAGCGACATAGCCATTACGCTAACTGCTGGTTCCTGCATTTGGTATGTTTTTCAAGCCACTGGATTTGGGACTTGAAACACTCAATTGGCCATGTGGGATCTAGCCGCTAAAGCAGTTAAAACCACCATACTACTGGTTGGCCCTGGAATTTTTTTAAATTTTAGGAACTCTATATTAAATTATGAAATAAGTAAGAAAAGAGATCTACTGAATCATACTAAGAAATCAAAATGGGGACGAGCAGTGGCGTAATGGCTATGTCGCTGGACTCCCATGTAGTCGACTGTGGTTCGAGTCCCGGACCCAGTGGCTTAAACTCACACCGGGCGCGTGTGGGTGCGTGCCCAAGATCCTGAGAGGAGAATAGAATAGAAGGGATTGCGGCGTGGCCATCCCCCCTGGGGGGTGGTTTCTTGCTTTCTGTCTCTCTGTCTTTCTGGTGAGCGTACACGCCCTATAGCAAAAGCCTCTACAAAAAAAAAAGAAAAAAAGAAATCAAAATGAGTGCTTAAGTAGAGTATATCTATTTTGGGAATATCTCAAATTTATCCCTAATAGTGAACAAGTTATTTAAGATAAAAATAAAATAAATCAGAAAACTATCAGGTCTCTGATATTTCACTGCTAATTATATACTAGTCTCTTCATATGGAATCTTTCAGAAGTTTAACATAATCTATTTCCTTATATAGTCAGCTATATAGCTTACTCTGAGAGGCATTTTCCTTGTCTATAGAACATTATCTATAAAATGGAGATAATGTGAATTTCACAAGCCTAACCTAAAGTTATTGACCAGGCACTTAATAAATGCCCAATAATTACTGACTTCCCTTATTTGTGAAATAGTTTTTATAGTGTATAAGATTCTGGAGTTAGGATTCCAGCTAAATTCTTTCAAATATGAATTAAAATTAAGGAAGAATACTAATTTATTTAATTTAGAAAAATACATCAATACTCGACAAATCCTTGTCTTTTGTAAAAAAAAAAAAAATAACATGTTAAGGTTTTTTTGAGATTTTTGTCATAGGGTGCATGTGCTCGCAGGTATGCGCAAGAGGGGAAGTGATAAATCATCCCCCTCTCCCACCAAGGAGGATGGTCATGCCAGTCCCTTCACCTCCATGCTTCTCTTTGGATTTGGGCAAATATACGTGTGCATGCACTCTGTGTTTTTTTCAAGGCTGCCAGGTTGAGGACTCTTAACTGCGCAGTCAACTGTGTGGGATCCAGTGACTTAACCACTGTGCCACTTCTTGGTCCAATGTGTTATCATTTTTTTTTTTTTTAGCTCTTTTGTCATTAGGCACATGTGCTCTCCTGAGACAGAGAGGGGGAAAAGTGAGAAATCACCCCCCAAGGAGGATGGTCATGCCACAATCCCATCTCCATAATCTTCTCAGGACTTTGGGCACTCCTACACACATGCCCTGTGTAATTTTCAAGCCACCAGATCAGGGATTCAAACCATGGTTGATCACATGGGAATCCAGTGCTTTAACTACCACAACAACTGCTGGTCCCTCAATGTTGATTTTTCTAATACTGCAATAATACCATGACTTAACAGAAGGGGCCCTCATATTAAAATACGCAGAAATGTTAAAAGGGTTTGTAGTTTAAAGACAAGTATTCTTTAACAATGGAAAATCATTAGCAGTACTAAGTTGAATTATTAGTCTTATGTATAGTTTAAGAATTTCGTCTTACACTGTGATTCACAAAATGAGACACATTTCCATATCGAGCTGCATCCACTGTGAATTCATCAGATTCATAGTCCAGATCAAAGAGATATGTGATTCCTTTGTTGTCATATAACTGCCCTCTTCTTTCAGCTTCTTCACTTGTGATTACCTGAACAGAAAAAACTATAGTATATTATGTAGCTATTGCTAAACTGAAAAAACATGCATTCATAAGCCTACTGATTAATTAATATATTAATACCTATAATGTTTAAAGGTAAATTCATGTGTCATCAAAACAAATACACAAACTAAGAGTTAGATGGAAAGAGGTAGAAAAATGGTAGTACAAAAGAATAACAATTTTTTTTTTAAGGCTTTTGCCATAGGGCATATGTGCTTGCTGCAAAGGAATGGAGAAGGTGAGAAATCAACCTCCCCTGGGGCGGGGGAGGGATAGCCATGCCGCAATCTCATCTCCACTCTCTTCTTGGGATTTTGGGCATGCATGTATCTTTTTTAAGCCACTGGGTCCAGGACTCCAACCACAATTGGCTATGTGAGAGTCCAGCACCTTAACCATTATACCATATGTTAGTCCAAGAATTAGAATTTTTTCAAAAGGACAAGTGGAAACACTGCACTACCTTCATTATAATTAGGATGTTAAAAAAGCTGTATGTTTCCATAGGCCATAATTGAATTTAAAAGACTTACCAGTATGTATGCTCTAAGTATAATCTAAGGCATATACTTCCTATAACTACTTGGGTATAATTATAAACAGAAATTTACAAATTCAGGGAAGAAGTTACAGTAAACTTAAAGTCAATTGTACAGAGTTTTGTTCTGGCAGAATAGGTTGTTTTTGGAACCAGCAGATGGCATAATGGTTATGTTGCTGGACCACATAGTCAACTATGGTCTGAGTCCCGGACTTAGAAGCTTAAAGTTCAGGCTGGTTGTGTGTACGTGGGTGCCCAAAATCTTGAGAGGGGAATGGAGAAGGGATTGGTCTCTCCTTGAAGTGATTTCTCGCTTTCTGTCTCTGTCTCTCTGGTGAGCATGTGTGCCCTATAGAAAGAAATCTCTCTTAAAAAAAAAAAAAAAAGGTTGTTTTCATGAAATTTTGTAGCATAAAAACCACCGTTCATAGTTTTTTGCTCTTCATACAGCTTTATCACATGCTTGGCTCATAAAACCCAAAATGTCTAGTGATTCATGTTATCAATGAGATGAGATGTTACTGTTATGTTCATTAAGCCAAAAAGAATACTTTGATTGTATGAGATCTAGTTTCTTTTTTTTTAAAAGAATTATTTCCTTTATTTTTTATCATTGTTTTACTTTTTTCTTTTCTTTTCAACCATAGCAAGACAGAGGGAGATAGAGAGAGAGAGAGAGAGAGAGAGTGAGCGAGCAAGCAAGCCGTCAGGCCCAGGACTCAAACTGTGGTCAGCCATGTGGGGGTCCAGTGCCTTTAACCACCATACCACCTGCTGGTTCCCAAGATCCAGTTTATTGAATAGTTATTTATAATAATCTATTGTTGTCTTAAAGAATAGGATCAAAACAGGAATCTCATTTAATTTCAGAATTCTAGATGAATACAGATAAATGATTTAATTACAGATACTAAAAAAAAAAAAAAGTCAGAAATCAGAACCCTTGATTTGTAGCCACACTTATCTTTCTAGTCAGCTTGACCTACCATTCAGTTTGAGGCAGTATGGTGCAGTGGTGAACAGCTTTGGTTTTGTAGTTTTGAATCCTCAAAATCCTTGCTTTTGAATGGCTTTTCTTTCTTACTATATGAGCTATGTAACCTCGGGCAAATTGCTCAATTTCTCAGTTTCTTCATTGATACTGAGATAATATCAGTAGTATTACCTCAAAGAGTTGTTGACAGGATTAGTAAATTAATACATAAAGAGCTTAGAATGGTATATAATGTGGTATGTGTTGAGTGTAAATACTTTATATATACGATTTGTATAAAGATAAATTTGCTAGCATTTGAATGATAATTTAGATTCAAAGTGTCTAAGACACAAAGAGTTTGACTTTTTTAAAATAGATTCAATAAACACTTTTGTATTGATACAAAATAGAGCTTTGTCAGCTATATTTAAGTATATTTTATATTTGGTCAAGTGGATGAAGCAAGTTACAAATTTAAAGCTTTGAAGTCAGCAAGGGTTTGGATCTGACTTTATTCTGAGGACTTCTATGTAAAAAGTAATTGTTGTGTATTAAAATATACATATATTAGCTTCAATGACTATAATCGGGTGTTTGTTCAAAGATGCCTACATTAATTTAAGTTGCCACTATATATATATATATGACTATGCCAGTGAACCCTTCTAAACAAGAAAATAAATGTCTACATATATGTAAATGATATAAAAATGTACAAAATACTTATGTTACTGAGGACAAAAGGTAACTTTTTGAAAGTGTAACACTTAGATAGACATTTGCTTTGTGATAAGTTGCACATACCTCTCCAACATATTCCATGACAAAACTC